TCAAGAAGAAAATGAGGGCCAGCAAAATTCAGATGCCTCAATTCCCTCTTTGCCTCTGGGAAAAAAATTGCTTTGCTGTCAGACCATAGAGGCAGTTCTGTGCCTTGGCCAGACAGGAGAGAGCAGCTCGTTGGGTGGAGGTGGAGGCAGCCAATGTGGCAGTGCAGGTCATGTTCAATCAGAGTATTTGAGAAGAGGGGGAGAATCTGCCTGAGCTTCCAAGGAAAACAGGTTTCTCACCAGGTTCAGAATGGGCTAGCAACCCACCTACTCCAGCACCCTGACAGCTGTGTGATGGACTGATTCCAGGTGATTTGTCCTAGGAGGCTGTTGCAGCTTTCTGAGGAGGAAGAGCTTCACCATGAGGCCCTGCAGACATTGTCAGAACCACCTGATGAGCCCTCCAGTTTGTGAGCATCCCCTCAGGAAGCTGCAGACCCCAGAGAGGTCTCCCCCAGTCTCCTCCAGGCTGAACAAGCCCAGCTCCCTCAGCCACTCCTTATCTGGCTTCCCCTCGAGACCCTTCATGCTGGTGAATGGTGGGATGTTGTAGCTCAGCCCTCTACATAGTGCAACCCACAGCTCATCTCCTGGTTCCCTGCACCAGGATCCTCTGTTCCTTTCTTCTTCCCTCTGCCCCTGGGCTTGAGCTGGAAAAGCAGGAGGGAACTAAGTAAGAAAGGAGGACAGAAGGATTCAGATCCTGGGACTGCACATCACAGTGATTTCCTGAAGACTTTTGAACCTGATCCCAATTTCAAGGGGTTGGTGGAAACCACGTTGAAATCCAGCCAATTCCTGCCTCCTGAAGAAACATCAGTGTGACTGAAGCCACCTTTTTGGTGAGATCACAGCACCAATGGGTGAGCTGGATGTCAGGACATTGCCAGTGAGATGAGTAGTGCAGGAGGTGCTCCTGGGCCTCCTCTGGGGTCCTCTGCTGCTGCTGCTTTGGAGCCCAGTAAATGCATTGCTGCTGCTGCTGCTTTGGTATAATTTTTTCAACTAATAACCGGAAATACTCAGTAGTTCTACTGTGTATAAATATCCTCTAAGCAGCTGGAGTGGAATGGGCTTTGGAAGACAAGGCATGACAGCGGGGGCTGCAGGAACTGGCACAGGGTTCTTGAGGCTACAAACACCTCAGCAATGGTCAGTAAAGGGATGGGATTTGGGGGTAGGGTAAAACCAGCCTTAAACAAAAACAAGCCTGTGGCAGATGGAAGCCACAGACAGAGCAATTCAGGTGTAATGTGGGGGTGGTTACAAAGCAAGGAACAATGACTGTGTTTTCAGAGGTGTAAAAAACCACCTTGGTTTCCTCAGCCACTGCAGAGCGAGGAGGAAAAATCCATCCATGTGGACATCTGTGCTTCTTCTGGCAAAGGCTGAGGCTGCTGCCTTGTGCTGTGACACCCCACACCCTCCTCCAGGCTGAAAGCCCCAGAGAGGCAGTGAAAGGTGAGCAGAGCCCCCAGGAAAAGGGGAGCAGTGGTTTTAACTGTATGTAACACTTCTGGTGCATTTTAACTTCTAGTCGTCATTTGAACTAAGTAAAACTAATTCTTTTGTTCAGTGCTTAATATGTTAATGAAACTACCAGTAAATTCATGGATTTGTTATAAAAACATGTTTCCTTTCATCTGCAAAAAAATGTTGAATGTAAGGAATTGATAGGAATACAAGGAACTTAGGCCCTAACTTGGATGCAACAAGTTGGTAGAAATGTGATGGTGGGGAGTGCTGTGACACAAAAACCCCAAAACTCTGTGAAGGCCACATCATCCCCCTGTGTGTGAGCCAAGGTGTGCAGGTAGTATTTAGGGTCTTGAAACCCCTGGCCATACAGCTGGGTCCCTGCCAGTGCTCCAGAGTGAACAAGTGTCTGTGCTTTAAACCCAGAAGTTGCCTTTGCTGAAGCCCCCTGAGACCCTCTGCCCATCCTGCACAGCCTCAGGTGGCCTCAGGTGCTGCAGACAGGGGGGTGACAGCAGGCTGGGGGCACAGAGGTCCATGTGTGGGTGAGGAGTGTCCCTGGTGTGTCCCTGGTGTGTCCCCAGTGGGTGTGGGGTGGGCAGAGGCTCCGGGGGAGCTGGCCAGGGATGGGAGGGCTGTGGGTGGGTGGAGGGTGGCAGTGTGCTTGGGGAGGGGATGCTGAGCAGGTGTGAGGGGCTGCCCCACTGGCAGTGGGGGCTCTGGGGGGGTGATGAGGTGCCAGGACTGCACAGGAGGAGCCTGAGGGGCCCTGAGGACCGGGCTGGGGGTGCTGGGGGTGCGGAGGTGGCACTGGGGTGCAGCGAGGGGTCCTGGGGGTGCTGCTGTGGATGTCACAGGGTGAGGGGTGGTGCAATGCACTCCAGCTGTGGCACTGGGCTCTGGGGCTTTGGTCCCCTCTATGTGCAGGGTCCTGTGATGGGCACGTGTAAGTTCCTACTTATGCTACCCCTTCATCCCACCCCACCAGGGCAGAAGGGCTGAGAAACAGGTATTGTTTCCCCATGTCACTGGTGAGGGAAACTGCTTTACCCATGGTCTGTCTTGACCTGGGAGCTGGTGGAGAGATGCTGTGGATGTGTCAGTGCCTATTGTGGAGGAAATACATTAAACCTTTTTTTTTTTTCTTTGTATTTCCTCTATTTTTCAGGAAGGAAGGCCCAGAGAGAGTGGGACACCACTGGGATCCTTCAGCTTGGTATTGAGAGGAAGGAAAATCCCAGAACCCTAAATTGCTTGGGACAACCTGTGTGGGAAAATCACCTACATGTGGAAGGCTGAGTGTGAACTGACCCAAGGCAATGGGAGGAGAGAGCTTGTCCCATCCCAGTGTCACAGACTGGGCTTTCCCCAGGAGGCTGCTCTGGTGGGGCTGGAGGGCCACTGGCCGGGCCAGAGCTGGCCTGAGCTCTTCTCCACACAGGATTTTCTGCTGGGATTGTTTGGGACCTGGAAGGAGACTTCAGGAGAGACCTCAGGAGACCCTCTGATCCCTCCCTCTGCCTGCAGCAGGTCCCTGGTCTGGACTCAGCTGCCCCAGCAGTGCTGCTCCAAACTTTGGCACCTGACAGGCATCTTTCCTGCACTTCAGAGCTGTGACTCCCTGGCCCACTGGCTCTGCTGTTTGCCTTTTACAAGGGGGCAGTGGCAGCACAGGCTCCCAGCTGCTCTGCTGCAGGTGGAGCAGCACAGGCAGGCTCTCCCAGCGAGGCAAGGGGTGCTCCAGTGCATCACTGTTCCTGGAACAATCCTAGGCTGAGCCTTGTCTCCTCATCCTCTGAGTACCCACGACCTGGCTCGGCTGTTTCTCACAGCACACCTGGCTGCAGGATGTGGGTTAAAGCTTAAAAGGTGTTCACAGGAACTGCTTATTTGTTCATCTACATCTTTCCATATTCACTTGAGCCGTGTCTCAGGACCATTTCAGCTTCAACCTACCTGTGCCCACCTGGGCAGTACCTCCCTGCACACAGGTGGGCAAATACCTGGCTGTCATAGGTTTACTTATTCTAAAAAAAACAAGCAAGGAATTATTCTTTCCCCTGCATCAATGTAAAAGAAAGATGTTGAACGGGGGAGGGTAGTTTGTCTTGGGTGATTGGCCCACACTAAAGAACTAGCCAGTAAATCCACACTCCAAGCTGAGGGCCCTCCCAAGACTGTGGGGAGGAGGGATGCGATTTTATTTTTTCTCTCCTCGGAAACAGGAGGCACTTCACTTCTGCCCTGATGGAGAGAGCCTGTGTGTGGCAGAGGCCCGAGGTTCACTTCGTTTGCGTCCTGCTCACCTGGCTGCTTCTGGCCACAGTTTGCCTCCGCTTTCCTGCGCCCTGCTCTGCCCAGCCCGGCCCTGCTCGCCCTTCATGGGAGCCGCCCGAGCCACCTCAGAGGGACCTGCAGGGGACGAGGCCGCCCTTTCCCTCCTGCGCTCCCGTTTGGCAGCGGTGTGTGTCCACTGACAGGGCAGGGGGGGAAATCCCGGCCACAGCCAGCCGCACACAGCTCGGGTTTTGTGAGAAGAGCCCCCCTTTTGGCTCCTCTCCCTCTCCCTTCCCCTTCCCGGTGGGAGAGGAGCAATCTCCATGTCAGCCCCTCCCGCGCCGGGGCCCTCACAGCGCCCCCACAGCGCCCCCTGCCGGCGGCACCGGCACACGGCGGGCTCCCCGGGCAGCGCCCCCCGCCGGCTGCGGGTGGGACTGCACCAACAGGCAGAGAGTCCTCAACTGGTTTCTTTTGTTTCTTTTTTTCTTTTTTTCTTTTTTTTTTAAACTTTAGGTCCCGGATTATTGTCTGTGTTGTTTTTGTGTTCTTTCGTTGTTGTGCCAATACACGTATAGCCTTTAATAAAGCGCTGTTATTTTTCCTTTCCCCACACTTCCTCCATCGGAGTCTCTTGATTTCGGATTTACAGTTGCTTAGAGGGAACAGCTTGGTCTTCCTCATAACTCATCCTCCCCAGCGAAACACTTCAGTCTCATTAAACTGAGACACTGGGGAACCTTCTCTAATCAAAGGAAAATGCAATGGATCTGGATCAGACACAGGGGTACCAGGGGGAAGGAGCCAAGGTTCTCCTGGGGAGAAGGAGCCAAGGTCCCAGCCTGCTCTGCCTGGGGGCAGCAGGAGGTTTGGCTGGGGGGAGGGCTCTGCCTGTGCCCCCATGTGCCCTGTGGCCACCAGCCACCAGCTGGCAGAAATGCCAAGGGGCTTGGGCAGGGTACCAGCCACTGCCTTTGAAGGGGACCCTGACCAGGGAAGGGGGGTCTGAGGAGAATAAAGCAAAATCAGAGCCAACAGAAGAAAGAGCCAGCAGAGACAAGAGACTCCAGCTGGTGTGTTCAGGAATCTTCCATGAGAAACCACAGCTCTGAAAGAAATATTTCTGCCCTTGAAAGACTAGCTGTCCCAGGGCATGGAGCTGGCATCAGATGGTGGCAGCTGGGATGGCTGTGGCTGTCCCAGGGGTGAAATCAAACAGCAAACTGCAAGTAGACAGAGTGGCAAGACAAGGGTTTTAATAATGAAGGTGTTGCTGGTAACATAGGTAAGGAAATGTGCTTGCTTACAGGTTTGAAGCTGACAGTACCCCTTTAAATAAGGAAATACATTTGCTGAGAGAAGAAAGTTACCTGGAAAGCCCTGTACAAGGCTGTAGTGGAGCAGCTAACACTACTCTGGATCAAGTGCTCTGGATATTCTCCACAGACTGGCTTCTAAAAATCTTTCACTTAGAAAAAGAAATTCTTTTTAAAAAAAGGCAACCTGTGACTGTCTATCCTAGCAGTGCCCTGTGACATTTGTACAATAGAAAAGTGGTGCTTTAAATAGTGACTTGACAGCTACTGCCATGTGCTTTATACAGCATGCAACAACACCATGGACTGGGGACCCACCGGGGCTGCAGAGCCACCTCCAGCAGCTCCAGCATCCCTGGGGAAGTGCCACGGGAGCCATGGCCAGGCTGGACCTCCTCCCAGTGGCTGCATCTCCGTGTGCTGTCCTTCCAGTAACACAAATATTAAATACACTCAGTCTGTAAATAGTTTAACAATCTTCGTCAGCAACAATATTTACTTTGGCAAAACCAGAATTGCAAAAAACAGACGTGTCCATCACACAGTCTGCAGCAAGTTCTTTGGTGGAAGCCAAGAGGTGAAGCAAAGGCTCCTTCTTGCTAGAGCCTGAGGAAAGAATATTGCACAGAGACTCATAGGAGACACGCTGGTGATTCCAGCATCACTGCGGGAGAGCTTCCTTCTCTGCCAGCTTCAGGAGAACGGGCTCCTCCAGGAGATCCTCGGTGATTCACAGCTGTTCTCCAGTAGCCTCGCTCTGGGCTGGGGGAGCAGTGACACTGGAGTAAACTTGGGAAGAAGGATGACTGCTGAGGATTGAAGAATGGGCAGAAGGATGGAGGGTGGATGGCAGAGCAGGGCAGGCAGCACAAGCAGAGGCTCACACAGACCCGCAGCCCTGCTCCACGTGCCGGTCACTGAGTGTCCCTGCTGGCTCCCCCTGCTCCCAGATGAGGCAGGGGCATGGAGATCACCCCGACCTGGCTGTGCACAGAACAGCCCCTCCAAAGCCCAGCTGGTTCTTTCATATCATTTGCTCCTACCCTGGACCAAAACACCTCACACATGCCTGTGTCCCATGGGTGTGACACACGGTCGCTCCACCAGTACGGCACATCCCTGCGACACCTGCACCTGCCTCCTGAACACCTGCCTGCAACCCCCACAGCTCTCTGCTCCAAGGGCACAGCCTGATCCAGTGCAGGCTGCAGCCAGGATGGCTCCTGGGCTTTTTGCCCCTTCAGGACATGCCAAGGTGCCACCATGAACATGGTGGTCTCCATCTCTCACCCCTCTGGAGCAGGGCAGTGCAGGGACTGGGCACTGCAGCTTTGGGGTAGGAGGAGGGAAGCAAGAGCCAAGCAAGAGCCAAGGCTGGGTAGAGCCTCCTGCTCCACACCCATGGCCTGGGCACAGCCAAGATGAGGCCAGCAGGGTTGTCTGAAGGGTTTGGGGAGAGAGGGAGAGGGAAACATTGGACTCTTTGCTCTGTGATTTCCTGTTGCAACCCAGGTGAGGCCATCTCACCACGCAGTCTTGTCATGAGCTGCTCCAGTTCTCATGAGAGTGACTAGTAAAACTGGGGGCTGGAAAGACTAAAGAAAGAAAACGGAAGTTCTTGTCAATCAAAGGAAGTGTGTTTTAGGCACTGGTGTCCTCTGTGGGGATGTGTCAATGGAGGAAAACCAAAGTACCAGAGTTGTGCTGTCAATTTGAAGTGACTGGAAATTCAAACAAGTTTATATGCTGGGAAAATGACTCCAGTTTCCCCTGGATGAGGCATGTTAGCCCTGCATATTCTCCAGCACGACAGAAACACTGCACTGCCTGCTGCAGGCTCACACCATCTCACAGTACCTCCCTTCACCACTGCTGCAGGTGCAGGTCCATGCTGGTGTTCAGGTTGAGGTCGGTGACATCCAGGAAATCGATGTTGAAGATGCTGGGACCTGCAGGGGTGAGTGAGCCAAAGCCAGTGGCAGAGCTGGGGGGGGTGAGGTCCAGCCACTCCATCGTTTCCCATGGAGACTCAGTGAAACTCATTTGTAAACTGGAGCCTTCAGCAGGGGAAGGGGAGAGCTGGGTTTCCATGGGCGAGAGGGGAGTCTGTAAAATCTCCTGGGAGTTGAGCAGTTCATCTGCGGCTTTGCCAGAGAACCCCTCCATCATCCCCTCAAAGTGGGGCTCCTCTGCCCCCATCTTCAGCAGGGCCATGTCGCTGACCCTGCCCAGGGGGCTGTTCAGCAGCACCTCCAGGTGGGCGTCACTGCTGCCCGGGCAGTGCTCGAAGGGCAGCGGCGTGGGCGGGACCTGCTCGAAGGGGGCGGGGGGCTTGGGGAGAGAGGCACCGGCGCTCCCCGGAGACACTGTTATCTGAGGTACTTTCTGGAGGCAGGACCGATCTTCCTTGGCAGTGGCTGGCATTTCTGTCAACAGATGAGAGGAATTTGAGGTGCTCTGGCAGTGTCCACCACTGCTGGGCCCAGGGGCACCACCATAGCCCTCCACCTGGACTCTGGGGCTTCCCTCTGCAGACCTGCTCCCCACTCGGTCCCCTTGGCACTGCTCACCACCCCCTCCCCGCGGGACACCTTGCACATTCCTGCTCTCTGACCTCAGTCCCCTGGGTTTGGACACAGTCCCTAGGGCACGAGCACTGGCAGCTGTCCCCGAGGGACTGGGATAGGACACAGGCAACACTTTGCACGCGGGAGGGGGGCACCAGCACTACTTTATGTGGGAGATGGCACTGGCAGCACTGGGAATGCTGGGGGACACTGGGGGCTCTGTGTGGGGAGGGGGCTGGCAGTGCTGAGCACAGGCTGTTGCTCTGCTGCCCCTTCTCTCTGCACAGCCTGCACAGGTGACAGCAAAGCCCAGACCGCCCCACCGGGATGGCACACACAGGAACAGGCTCCAGGAGGGCCAACGTGCCTTTGGATTCAATCTCAGTGGCTGCTGGCACAGGAGGGCTGATGAAAGCTGTATTCAACTCAGGCAGCTCTGCTGGGGTGCACAGAATGCACTGAGCCTCAGGGACCAATCTGGCTGGGAAGGGAAGCCCTGGGGGGGAACAGGGAAGCAGCGCATACCTCCACTCTCAATCAGCACGTCCAGGAGCTCATCCATCTGCTGACTTCGTGTCATCTGCTGCAGCAAACGACAAAGAGGAGAGTAGAGGGCATTACGAGGAGAGTCCCTCCAGCCACAAGCCAGGTAGGTGGCTCTAGATCCCAAAAAAGTTGTCTCTAGACCCCACAAATGGCTTCCTCCCATGCAGGAGAGAGGCCACACCAACACGGGGCTGGCAGTGGCATTCAGGTGGGCACTGCAGGGACCTGGGACAATCACAGTTGATCCAGGGACCGAGGTGCCCTGCTTTGCCACCAACCCTCTGCTCACTGGACACCACAGCCTGCCCTGTCCCAGGGCCACCAAGACACACCGACATTTTGGCCCAGCACCTCGCACTGGCATGTGCCTGCCTGCACTCCCTGCACTGCCCAGGCATCCTCCTCTCCCTGCCTGAACACTGGCAGGACTTCCTGCACTCCAGCAGGAGCCAATTCTCACCACTGCCAACAGCATCACTCTGCTTCCCCAAAGGCGCCATGATTCCTGGCACTGAGGCTGCTGCCAGATTCTCATGGAAGGGATTCGTGGGCGATGGACAGTCCTCCCGTGGGAACAGCACTCCAGGATAATGCTCTGTGCCATCCGCCCCCTGAGCCTTAACAACCCCTGTTGTTAATGGGCTAAAGAGTGAAGGTGAGCTTCCTGGTGACTGGGGAATGCTCAAGGGTCTATTCCTCACACAGCACTGAGCACCCCAAAGAGGAATACACCTGCACCCTGGATGTGTGAGGGTGTCCGGGGGTGCACAGCAGACACTGTCCTACCCAGCACGGTCTCTGCTTCATGGCAGCCACTAACAGCCACAACAGCAGCCAACCCTTTAAAAAGCGCATGTCTCTGACAATAGGCCTGTTCTACCCAGAGACCCCAGAACAGGTTGGAACTCCTGTAGCTGAGTCCCACTATCTGCAAAAGGACACCCTGGGCAGCCCCAGCCCTGTAGAAAACAAAAACCATGCAGTTACCTGCTTCACTGCATCCTCATAGGCTGGAGGCTGCTTTACCTCTGACAGGGCTGGGCTTGACTTACAAAAACTTGGGGATGGAATAGAAAACTTTTGACCTGCCTGGGCAGCCATCTGCTGGGGAAATACAGGGAAAGGGAGTCAGTGCACGGGGAGGCACAGAGGGGGGACCATCTCTCTCATTCCTATTGAGGTCGGGCCAGGGCCAGGGAAAATAACTATTTTGTGGGCCAAACAAACAAAATGCCTGGCCTTCGAGCAGGTAGAGGCAGGTACACTAGCTCCCTCTGCCTGGCTCTGAGCCCCAGGGCCAGGCTGGCCTCTGCTGGAGCACAGGGATGGTGTCCCAGAGCACCCTGGTGCTTGGCACAGCCAGGGATGTGCAGGGCAAGGGGAAGACAGGGGCTGTTGGTGGTTGGCTGCATTTGGCCACTGATGTGGCACCTCCCGAGCTGCGCCCCAGCCCCTGTCCCTCACTGCCTGTCTGGGGGCACTCACAGAGCCAGGCCAGGGAAGACCACGGAACAGAGTGTGCCAAACATCTGCATGTGACTGCCAGGCTCCCCTTCCAGGAGAGACCTCTTCTGAAGGTCCAGTGCCTGCCAGCTGCTGTCCCCATCACTTCTAGGCCCTAGTGTGTCCTTCCCCACTGCCTTGTCCCATGAGAGCCAATACCAGGGGAAGCAGCATCACTCCTGCAGGTGGGTTGGATCCAGGGGTGGGTCCAGGGCAGCAGTGAGGTCACTCAGCCAGGCCATGCTCATCCTGGCCACCCTTCTGTGGAGAGCAGCTGGAAGGAACACTATCCCTGGCTCATGAGGAACAGCACTCCAGTGCTGGGTAGAGTAGTTCTTGCTGAGGAAGGACCCTCACCACTGGGAATGTCTTGCAGGCAGCAGAGGAATGCCCAGGATGGTGGTGTCACAGCTGGGATAAGCTGCAGGACACCATGGAACCATCCCCTCCATATGCCCCTTGCTCTCGGGCTGAGAGGGAGAAGCTGGAGATGCCCCCATGGTATCACTGCTCCCTCCTCACACTCACTGACCACTGCCCAGCTCTCCAGGGCAGCCCCACTGCCTACTGCCCCCACAGCTCTGACCCAGTGCCCAGTTCACCTCTACAGCCCCACTGCTGGGGACACCCCCTGCATTCCCTGCTCTTTGCCCCCTGCCCAGCTCATCCTCCCCATGGCTCAGCTCACCCAAACCAGTGTTCACATCACCCTCTTCACCCCTGAAGCAGCCCCACCACCTGCCTCACTCCAACCCCACTGCCCTCCGTGCCCATCCCACTGTTAGCCCTGTCTCTGCCTGTCCTCTCCCTAAATTGCTGCCCATTCCCACCTCGCTGGTGGTGCTGGTGCCAACTGCCCATGGCACTGCCTCACCATCCTCTGCAGGGGTGGACGCAGTGCTGTGCCCACGCCGTGCACCGTGCAGGGCTGTCCCCTAGTGCCTGCCCCCCGAGGGACAGGGCTGGGATGGCTCTGCTCCAGGCACTGCTCCTCAGCGCTGAGTGTGCTCAGCCCCTGCCGTGCCCCTCCCTCAGCCCCGGGGGCACGCCTGGCACCCTGGAGTGGGACAGGCTGTGGGAGGGGTGGTGCTGCTCCCCGGGGAGCCCCAGGAGGGCACTGGGACGAACTGGGACGAACTGCTGATCAGCAGAACTTTGTGGTGCTTTTCGTGTTGGCGGCGTGTGCCCCTCCCCAAGCATTCGTACCTCTCCAGAGGGCTGAGTGAGGAGTGGTGGTTGCTGCAGACAACACCCTGCTGGGCTGGCGGCTGGTGGGGAGGCACGAGCTCTATCTGTTTGCACACCCCAACTGCAGGCCCTGCTTTAGCTTTCTGACAAAAGGCTTCCCGGGACAACTGCTCTTCTCCAACCCAGTGGTAAAAATCCCTCACACACTGCTGGGAGCCACAATTGCTTGGCAAGATGCTGGAGAGCCCTGCAACCCTGCAGAGGGGTCTCCTTGGGGTGTAGGAACTGTGCCAGGGCTCTCCTAGGAGGTGAGGGATCCATGCTGGTGCTTCCCTGCTGTGTACAGAGCTGTGCCAGGGCTCCATGGGGCACGGGCAGCTGTGCCAGGACTCCCCCTGAGGGGAGAGGCAGCTGGGTTTGGGCTCCTTTAGGGCAGAAACAGCTCTGCCAATGCTTCCCCAGGGATGAGGGAGCTTTGCCAGGACCCCTCTAGGGGCAGAGGGAGCTGTGCCAGTGCTTAACCAGGGGCAGAGGGAGCTGTGCCAGTGCTCCCCAGGGCAGAAGAAGCTATGCCAGGGCTCCCAGGGCAGAAGGAGCTGTGCCAGGGCTCCATGGGGCAGCGGATGATCCGCCAGGAGTCTCCCAGGACACAGGGAGCTTTGCCAGTGCTCACCTATCGGCAGAGAGAGCTATGCTGGGGTACCCTGGGGAAGAGTGGAGCTGTGCCAGGGCTTCTCCAGGGCAGCAGGAGCTGTGCTAGGGCTCAATGGGGCAGGGGAGCTGTGCTGTGGCCCCCTCAGGGCAACTGGGTGCCGAGGCAGGGGTTCCCTAGTCATACCCTGCAAAGAACCCTGCAGTGCCATCAGCTTCCAACCCATCCATCTGGGATACTCTCTGCCTTTCCAGGCAGTGCCATGTGGTGCAACGGCCCCTGGGTGCCCATCCCGAGTTCCTGCAGCCCGGGCTGGCAGGCCAGGCCTGCAGTGGGCTGTGTGTGCCCGAGGGGGCTGGGTCACCCTCACACTCACCGGTGCTGTGCGGAGGCAGGCGCTGCCCGGCGGGGACCCGCTGCGCCCGTCCGCGGGCACGGGGGACACCGGGAGCAGGTAGTGGCTGTTGGGGGACGGCGGAAGGCTGATGTGCTGGGGGCTCTTGGCAGCCCCGAGGGGAGAGTGCTGGGGGGAGCATTGCGGGCTCAGGAATGTCGAGGAGGTGATGGTGCTTTGCCCCGCAGGCTCCAGGCAGTGGCTATTTACAATGTGGGGCACCTGTGGCACCGCACAGTTACTGAGCTTGTCCGAGCTGCCCGCCTGGCCTTTCAGGGCCGTTTGTTTGGATGCAAATGGACAGCTGGACACGGTGTTTTCTTGCTTGATGGGGACACCAAAGAAATGCTGCTGCTTCTCCTCAAGGCCATTGCTTCTCTTTCGCTTCTGGAGCTGCATCCGCAGCTCTTCCACCTGCCTCTGCTCTTGCTGCAGCTTCCACGTCAGCTCATTGATGACCTTCTGCTTCTCCACCAGCATCTTGTCTTTCTCTGTGTCAATTCCTTCCAGTTCCAGATGGATGCTCCCTCCATTCATGCTGCTCATGAGGCTTTCTTCAGCACTGCCATGAACTGGAGATGGCTGGAGACCGAACTGTGGGGAAGACATGGGCCCGTCGTTGAAAGTGTCTGGCAAAGAGCCACTCACAGAGAGATCGGAGGAGGCAGGTGAGATGGGTGGGGTGGAGCTGGTGCTGCCAAAGTGGTAGAAGCCATTTGATAACATGCTGGTGGAAGACTGGGACTGGTAACTCGACAGCGTGCTTGTCGGAGTGACTGGGAAGGTGACGGTGGTGATCTCACTGAAGTTTGGCACCGCGGTGCTGCCGCACTCCTGGAAGGGCCGCAGACGCTCCATCAGCGCTGTCTTGGTACCCGACACAGGCAGGCCTCGTATTCGGAGCTGCTGCCTCAGCTCGGACACCTAGAAGGGAAGTCACTCCTGATCAGTCTCAATGGCAGATGAGCCCTTCAGAAACCCAGCACTTGGAATCATGGAATCATGGAATCATTTAGGTCGGAAAAGACCTTTAAGATCATCAAGTCCAACCTTCAACCCAGCACTGCCAATCCCACCACTAAACTGTGTCCCCAGGTGCCACATCTACATGTCTTTTAAATACCTCCAGGGATGGTGACTCCACCACTGCCCTTGGCAGGCTCAGATCACAGGCTTGCAGCTCCCAGCTTTAAAGTTCTGCCTTCTCGGGTCTCACCACAGTTACCCTGTGCAGCTCTGACCACTGCATGTCCTGCAGAATCTCCACCTTTCCTAACAAGAAAACCTTCCTTCTTCCTCCAGGAAATGCAGTGGCCCTTGGGCCATGGAGGCAACTCAAGATTCCCTTCCTAGCAGGAGGTTTCTCCATGAGTAGAGGACTTTCACACAGACCAGGAGCCAGCTGACAGCTCAGAGAATCTGATCATATACCTTGGAGCCACATGCTCCACGTTCAGGCATCTGCACAGGATACAGTCACCTGAGCTGGGGCATTGCTGTGGCCAAACTCACGTTATTTCTACCTCTAATAATGAATTTTGCCCAGGTCTCTGCTCCTAGAAGGATTTGGCCTTCCTTATGGCTGAGTGTCCATTAGCGAAGTATAAAAGAACTGCTGATGTGACTGTTTCTCCCTTATACCCTGCCTTGCCTACATGAGAGATGTTCAAAGCAGTGCATGTAGCAGGAGATACCTGCTCGTGCAGAGAGCTGAGCTGGCCTGGCTGCAGGGACCACTGAGTCACCAAGGGGAGGCCATTCTGACCTTCCAGATGGTCTGTTAGAGTATCCTGATGTCCACCATAAAACCACAGAAGGGATGGAGACAGGAGCTGCAGGAGCAGCATCACAGATCACCCTTTAGTCCTTGCCCTTGGCCTGGCCTGCAGCCTCCCCAGCTAGACCTAAGGTTTGCTGATACACGCACTGGAGCAATGCACCCCTGCACCACCTGCAGAGTGGAAAGCCCTCATGTTCAGGGACCACCACGGTGCCCAAGGCCTGCCCCAGTGTGGTGTGCTGTACTCCTGAGCTGCTGAGAGCACGGTGGGTGGGGTGTGCTGATCTGTGCCTCGCTCACTCCCAGCCTGTGGCACTCCACTGCACGCTCAGGCTGTGAGATTCAGCTCCTGCTGTGACAAAGTTTGCACTCACTTTGAGATCATCCAGGTTGGACGGCAGAGGGCCTGGCTTGATAGATGAGACACAAGTCTGGCCTGAAAAGGAGGTTTTCACTGGAGAAAGAGAGGTGTTGTTGACAGAAGTTGATGTAGAATTTGAACTTTTGACCATTTGTTCATTTGATTGCCTGAAATAACAAAGGAGATTTGGGGTAACTTGTTAGTCCCCTCAGGGTCTCTGTGACCAGCATCCCATCCCTCTGCTCCCTTAGGAGCTGTCTCCTGTATGAGGCCTATGGATGGCCACCCCAAGGAAAAGCAGGCTGGGCTGTAGGACGTTGCTGGTCTCCCACCAGCAGGTCACAGGTGCCTCAGCCAGTCCACAAAGCCAGAATGGACAGTCTGTGTTGTTCCCAAGCTTTTATGTTTCACTGCCTCTATCCCCTTGCACTGGCACAAATGGGTACAAGGCAAGGGAAAGTTTGGAGAGAGACAGGACTAAACCCTGCTGCTGTCACAGTGCCACTCACTTTAGCTGTCCTTGGTGCATCCCAGAGTAGCTGAAGTGCTGTTGCTGCTGCTGCTGCTGCTGGCTGAGGATCTGGAGCTGCAGGAAGAGCTGCTGTTGTTGGAGCAGTCTGGCATATGCAGAATCCATGGGTGGAGGGGATTTCTCTGCCTTCTGGTCTGGAGGGATGTACTGGTGGTACTTGAGCTTCTTCACTTTGGGTTTTGTGTCCTTGGGCTTTTTGTGACGGTTCTTGCTATCAGTGGATGATTTGGACTGTTGGTCCAAAAAGGAAAGGAATTAGCTGTGAAAAAAGCTCCTGCCACCCTCCGTGGGACCTCAGAGGCCTGGGAGAGAAAAAAGGCAGCTCCTGCTGGCACTCTGACACTCCGGCTCCAAGAGCTGCTAAACCTGGATATGGGAAACTCCCTCGGGACTTTGTCCCTCATTTGTGCTGGAGAGCGCATGAGATGGAGAATGACCCTCCCTGCCCAGAAGGTATTCCAGTGCTCCTCATATTTCCTCCTGCTTCCAGCCCAGGGGACATTTCCAGTGCAGGACTCAAGCAATCGCCTGTGGCAAAAGGTGTTTTGCTGTACCTTGTACCACTACCCAGTGAATCAAATTACAGTTTGGCATGAGGTTTGCCTGCCTGCATTGTTCAAAGCCTTTAAGGCCAGAACCCCAGACCTCCCACATAGGTGGAGTGCAGTATGGGGACACTCCAGGCAGGGATGCAGCCAGAGGCACAGGCATTAATTACCTTCACTGCAGAGGGCACGGGGAGCGTGGGGCTGTCCTGCCCCCCCGTCTGCTTGGGGCTGTCACACTGGCTGCCCTGCTCCGGGGCTGTGTCCAGAGCGTGGCCATCGGCACTGGGGGGACGATCCTGCAAGGGACAGGAGAGAGGGGCTGTGGGGTCGGTGCCAGGGGCTGCCCAGCCTGGACAGGGGCACCTGCTACCCTTTCTTCACCCCATTTTGTCCCTAGTTCCCCCAGGTCTATCCCAGCCAAATATTCCCATACCCCCAGGCTATCCCAGTCCTCTCCTAGTTCTCTGTCCCCTCAGTCCTTCTTGGTTTCCAAGCCCCCCTCCATTTCACCTGAGCCTGCCCAACGCTGGCCCCTCAGTGTGCCCCAGACCTCCCAGTTGACCTGGACAGCCACAGTCCCTCTGGTACCCCCCTGCCCCAGTGGGCCCCAGTCCGTCCAGCCCCCCCAGTCCATCCCAGCCCCACAGTGTGCATTTGTCCACCCCGGCTCCCCCACTCCCCCAGTGATCCCCATTCCCCCATTCCCCCCAGGCCCCCCATTCCCCTCAGTCCCTCTCCCCATCTCGGCCCGGTGCCTGCAGTTCCCGCTCCGGCCGGGGGAGGGCGCGCCGGCCCCGCGCAGCCCGTGAGGCCCCGGGGAGCGGCCGGGCGGGACCGCCCCTGTCCCTCCCGCGTCCCCCTTTGTGCCCCCCGCTCTGGGGCTCCGGGACCCCCGCCCTACCTGCGGTGTCCCGGCAGGGGCAGGGGGCGGCTCCGGGTCCCTGGAGGCAGCGGGCGGCTCTGCGGGCCCCGGGGAGCCGCGGCTGCGGGGCCGCTCGGGGGACAGCCCGTCCGCGCTGCTGTCCTCCTCCTCGAAGGCGAAGGCGTCGGCGGGGCGGGGGAAGCTGCCCTGGGTGCCTGAGGGGCGGAGGGGCGGCGGTCAGAGCCCGGGGCACTGGGGAGCGCTGGGGGGCCCGGTGAGCCTCGCGGTGCCCCCAGCCCCGGCCGTGGTGCCGGGGGGCTCACCCTCACCCCCCGAACACCCACACCGCGTGGGACCCGTCCTCAGCAGAACTGAGGCTGAAAGCAACCTGCAGCATGACCCAACCCCTCACGGCACACGAACCAACACGGGCGGACCTGGCTGCAGGTGCACAGAGGCTCCCAGATCCTGCCTCTGCCTACAGGACAGGGTTCAAACCACTGCCTTTGCCTCTGACAGCCCCAGGCACCGCTGCTCCCGCTGCACAGCTGCTGCACGATATCTGCTAGTCAGATGGGCAAGGGCTCTTGACCCCCAGGTTTTGCTGATAAATAAAGTGTTGGGAGAAAAGAGGTCTCATGTGAGCCTCTGAAGGGCTGCAGGTGGGGGTAGAGGAAGGAGCAGCGTGGCCACGCTCGTAATCTCCACGTGCTCATGTCTGGCATTTGTCAGGCAGCTCGGCATGCTGATAGTGAGGTGACAAATGGGGAAACAGGAAGGGCCTGGGGACAAGCTTCCACCTGTCCCTGCCGCTGGTCTAGCAATGTGCACCTTCTCACCGAGACGGGCCTCCTGCTCTGACCCCTGCCCCTATCTGAGAGATAAGGGTTATCTCAGCTCCCTGTGGCTGCTGGTGCCAGGGTAGGCGAGAATGGAGCCCTGGCTTCCTGCCTGAGCTGCTGCCCAGCCACCGCATGGGCTACAGGTATGAGGTCAGCCATGTCCAACCTGCTCTCTTCACATGTCCCTGAAAATAGGGCCCTGTGCCCTGTCCATCAGACGCAGCACCCAAACAGGGTATTCCCTGAGGAACTGCAGCACTGCATGGTCCACCTGGGCTGGGTGGGAACTGCTTCCCACTCCTGCAGGCAGCACGGGTATCCCCTCTTGGGAAAAATTACTCCAAGCAAGGAGTAGTGGACTTGTGGATCTGCAAAGCTCCTGCTGGGCTGGCATTTATTAAGTGTGTGTGTTGAGAAGTGGTGCCAAAGCTGGGAACCCAAGGGACCTTCAGGACACAGCGACAGCCCAGAGCATGACAAGAATGTGCTGCATCCTACTGCTTGATACCACAGGCCTGTGCCGATGGGGAATGCTTCCCTTATCTGTCCTGCTCTCACACAGCCTGGCCCAGAGTGTATTGTTTCCCCATCCTGTGTCCCTGCTGTAATCTCAGGCAGGATGGTGTTTGCTCCAGGCTGCTTCTAATGCACTGGGTATTGTCCTCCCCAACGCATTGGACAAAGTGATGACAAGGACCTGGTAAAAAAGGGTTCTTGTGTCACTGCTCAGCTATGCAGGGCACTGGCGGCCTCCTGTCACTGGGACGGTTGGGCTTTTGGTTGGGGTCTGGCACTTGCTGCTCACCCTGCCGGAGGTGATTAGAGGAACACGTCAGCTGAACTTTCCACTGTGTAAACAGTTGAGATTCCAAGGTTAAAGTAAAATGATTTTAAACCCTGTCATCTTTCTGGTATTGCAAAAACAAAAGGCTTAACGTTCACAAGTGCCGGTGCTCATCTCTGCTCTGTGTTCAGCCCTTTACCCCAAACTCTGAGCAACACAAGGCACCCCTGACTCTGAAAAGCAGCTTGAGGATCCTTCAGCCTGAGGCTTTCTTCTGCAGAAACCTGAGGGCTCAGATGGTGCTCCTGGTGCAGCTGCATTACCTTCTTCTCATGGCACCCAATGGTACCAAGAACCTCCCTGTTTGACCCTGATGTGCTGCACATTTCACCGTAAATGGGATGTAACTGGCTTGCAGGACACATTTTTCCCCAGCAGTGTGATAGAAGGGCATTGCGAAAGGGAGAAATTTAAAACTGAACAAATCATTTTTAAGCCAAACTTTTGTTTTTAACAGTTTGGTCCCGTAAATCTCTGTTTACCACGAGCTCCTGACAAGGCAGCTGGGTAGAAGCTCTGTTCAAGCTTCAAGCTCACTTGCCCAGCCTCCAAACCTCAGCTTCAGGGGATAAAGTCATGCTCAAACTGCCTCAAATGTTTATAACGGGGGAGAATTTTTGAAACTTTTTTTTTCCACTGTTCTCTCCTTCGATAAGTGGCTGGGGAGATTTTACTTCAACTCTCCTTAAAAATTCCTCTTCAGGCAGAGTCCTGGAACATTTCAGGTTCAAAGAGGAGAGCTGTGACATGCTGGAAGGAGAGCAGCTCCAGGGCCAGGCTGGAGGAGCCGCTGTATAGACAGAGCCTGTTCTTCACAGCCCCAAACCCAAGAGCAGGAACAGTTGTAGGGCAGAACAGAGTGATATCTGGGCCTGGAATATTTCCTGTCATTTATGATGGTTTCTGAGATGAAATGAAAGTCAAAGAGCTTCCTATTTCAACTCTCATTTTTTGCATCACTCCTGTCACTCAAAGACCCCTCCTGTTCCAGAGTCCTGCCACTGTCTCCAGCTTGCCCTCAGCTCCAGAACAGACACTTCACGTAGGATTATGCCAATGAAAATTATCCCATGAATTGAGGAACCGGGAGCAACAGAACAAGCAGTTTCCAGGGGCAGAGCACCTCTCAGTGCCTCACTGGAGACCTGAGCACCAATTTGGGCATGTGGAGATGGCCCCAGGCTTCAAAAATGCAGGCTGGTGTCCTGTCACTGCAAGACCCTGTTGGTCTTCCTGCTCCTTTTCACTACTTTTGGACCTCCTTATCCTGGCACTGGGCCCTGTGAAATTTGAGTCACCTTTTTGCTGTTTCACCTCCCACATCAGCTTCCCTGTGGGGAAGTAATTGTGGAGGATTCTGCTTCCCTCCTAGCGGGGGAGGTGATGGAGGAAAACCAGGCTTGGGCATAAGGCGAGTGCTGGGTACTGGCTGATAGGGCACAAGTGGGAGAATTCAGACTGGCCTCACAGCCACATCTCTGCACCCAGGTCCTCTCCCACGCCAGAGAAAGGAGCGTGCTGGCTCCAACAGTAGCATTTCCATGCTCAAAGCCTTGTGGAGAGAAGGGATGTAAGAAGGAAGGCTCTTTTGAGGGGTCGTGGCTGAGCAATTGTGCACGTTTCAGTGTCACTGCTCTAAGGTGAGAGCTCTCTGCTCACGGGCAGGATAAGACAGAGCAGGCTGTGCTGGACTGGGCCGCTCACTGTGAAATAATTAAATTTAAGCAATAAATGCAGCTCCTAAGTTCAGGTCAGCCACTTCCTACAGTCGCTGTGGTACCTCCTCGTGCCCTCGCCAGCCCCTGCCCTGCTCCACACACACACAACACACACATTTCCTTTCACTACCTTTTATGGCCTCTTTCACTGCAGAGTCAACGGAAATGATATTCTTCTCCACCAGCTCCAAAGGACCTGGCCTGAGAGCGATCTTTTCATTGAGGTCATCTGCCAGTCGGGCTCTTTTCAGCTTCATTTGAGTCGACTGAATGGACCCCTCTGCAGCCGAGTCTAAAAGGCCAAAGAAGGCATCAGGACAGGGGAAACCTCAGCGAGTACTTCCCTTCATCACAGCCCTGGGGGGCTGTGGGCGAAACCTGAGTGTGGCTCAGGGCATAGCAGGAGCTGCTCTGCTGGACTGGATGGGGCTGGTGGGACTTGGGACATGGCTCCTCCTCTGAGCCTTAGGCCCAGCTTCTCCCTTCCCAAACAAGAGCCTCTGTCTATCAGCCTAAATTTGCAAACCCAGCCTACAGCTGGAGCATCCTCTGCAAGGACCAGGAGTGACCTGTGATTAACAAGCTGACACTAATGAGGGCCAAAGGGGTATTCAGCTCCTGCCTGTCAGGAGCACCTTGGCCCTTGTGGGCTGATGCAGATGGATCCCTACTTCTGGGGAACAGCTGGAGAAAAGAACAGTGCTTGACAACTGGAGTAAATGGCTTTCATTGGAATTAAAAATAGTGAGTACTGGGAGGTGACATGACTGCAGCGCTCCAGGCCTCCAGGGAAGAACGAGCTGGAGAGGAGCACAGCAAAGGCAGGTAGATCTGGAAGCTACAGCCCTACCAAAGCCAGCTGAGAAGACCCCAGTTACAGAGTGCTGACAGAAGAGTAGCAACTTAGACAGAAAATTTCCTGAACAAACCTGATCTGGCTCCTGTGGTGGCAGAGGCATGAATAGGGAGGGAGTGGGATTCTAAACTAGACCATTTCTATACCCTTGGGGGTCTATAGTGGGACTGGCTGATTCTAGGTTGTGCTGTCTTCAAAGACTGGGCACTACTCTGGAGGAGATACTGTCAGCAAAACAAGCTAAATGAGCTCCTCGAGGTGAACAGCAACAGAACGTGTGTCTGTAAGGCACTTTGATGATGCAAAGTGTCTCACCTGGCCAATTTCAATCCCCTCTAGGTCCTGTTGTGAACAAAATGTACACGTAAGTTCGTGATACACCAAGGCACCTCCATGGAACGCAGAGCACGAAGGACAGAGGTGTGAGCAGAGGCTCCAGGTCAGGGGGTGTGGGGCAGCATGTGCAGCTTGCTCAGTGCACAGCCAGGCTCTGCTCCCCCATACCTTGCCTGCCCTGCCTGGCCCTGTCCATGCCTGGGGCTGCAGCTGCCTCCACATCTGGTTTACAGCACTTGGCCACAACTCCTGGCCATATGACTTCTGTTATTTAACCCAAGGGGAAGACACTTTCACCTCTTAAGCAACGGTGCCAGCCCATTTTAGGGATGGAAACCAAAGGAGAAAGCAAGGCAGGGACACTGATCCAGCTTGGGACCCTGGCTCAGTCCTCCCGCCTGTCAGAGGAAAAAAGACTGCACTCCTGCTGAGAGCAGAGGGCAGCATTTACAGCTGCCAGAGAGTGATCTGCTTCTTCCAGGCAACTGACAGGGCTCAAGGAGGGAGGGAGGCTGCACATCCTCTCTGTCTCTAAGGATCTTATTATCTCTGGAGATAAGGAGGGACACCATGGGGTTCTGCTGTCTGTGATGGGATGCAGCCTTGCCAGGTCTCTGGCTGGGAGGGAACACCACGATGGGAGAGGGGAGAGCTGCTGTGGCTCACAGGCTGATAGCAGGGCTTTTCATTCAGCTGTGCTTGGGTCATTGACTGCATGAGTTGTCCCACAGAATATCCAGAATTATGGCAGCACCAAAGATTCGCTTTGGGAGGGTGTTACAACAGGCTGCTATAGGAGTTTCAGTGCCCTGGCCAGCAAATGCCCTGGGTTTGCTTTTCATCATCAGACATCAGCTCCTGAGGCTTAGAGAGTTCTCTCTCAGAGCTGTTCTACACCCACTGTTCTCTAGAGCATCTCATGCTGGCCCCTGGCAGAGATGGGAGAAAGACTAGATGGCCTTGGGACTGCATTTGTCAGGGAATAAAAAAAAGTGCATGCTGCTTCCTGAGGACCAGGTCTGCAGAGAATTCCAGACAAACTGTGTCCCATTTAAGTCTGTCTCTCATGAGCAGCTGGGACAAAGTTAATCATGATGAGAGCCCTGAAGGAACACAAGTGGGGCAGGAAGGACACAAGTCCCAGGGCAGGAGACACGAGGAGTGTGTGAGAGAAGCTCACGCAGTCTTACCTTGCAGAATGTGCATGTTGACCAGGTCTGAGCGCTCAGGCCTGCTTCTGATCTTGTGCTTGAGATAATCTTCAGTCTGCAGGACACAAATGCAGAGGGTTACCTGGCTGGAGCAGCAATGAGGTCCTGAGAGCACCTGGCCCTGTGCCATCCCATGGTTCTTTTGAATTTATTACAAGCTGGGTTGAGTGAGGTCCTAAATGGCATTTTTTGGCACTCAGACACTGACTTGTTCCCAGGCAGGAGTTCTTCAGAAAGGGAACATTGTGCATGGAGCTGCTAACTTACCACTGTACCCATTCCTGTGTCCTTTACAATCACCACTGGGCTTCTGATGCCTGAAGTATTGTGAGAGCTCGTAGGAAGGATGGGACCTACTCCCTGGGAGTGGTGCAGGTCCAGCACCTTTGAGAGCTGCACCAAGGCAACTCCAGAGTGTCCTGTTAGCAGTGGCTTCTGTGGGAAGCCTGGCACTCTGGGGTGGGATATCAGGAGCAAGTAATGAAGATACTCAGACTTTCTACTCAGGTCAGCCATGGGGTTTAACCTTCCTGCAGTTCCTGTGCTCTGTGGTTCCTCACCCCAGCTATGATACAAGGCTGGGGAAATCCACTCTGCAGATTGCTGCAGCTGAGCTTGTGATGAACATGGTCCTGGGGCCCTGTGCCACCTCCCTCATGGCTTTAGGAACACAGAGGCACACACGGGTACAGTAACACCATCCATTAGGGCCAAGGAAGTCAGCCTTGAGGGCAGCTGACCTCAACAATACAAATATAAGCTTATCCCCGGTGAAGAAAAGCTAGAGCACAACTTAGACAAGATTAGCTCTTTGCTAAGCTGAGCTGCAAGAAGAAATAGTCCAAAATATGTTCATAGTTCAAAGAGGTTAAAATCTTAAGAATAAATATAAAAGAATAGTACAAGCAGCTGGAGCACATTTGGAAACCCACAGCATAAAACGTACAGGTTCATGAGAAAAAGATCTTATAAGCACTTCTGCAGCCAGGATCAGACAATGGAAAGTGCTGTCTGTGTTCCATAAACAGGAGAAATAATTGTGCGTGCTGCTGAGATGCCCACAGGATTTAATGCCTTTTAAAACAATCCTCACTAAACAGATAAATGGCTATTTATCAATCAGGTGGCTAAGCCAAGAGCCTTCAGGAACAGAGAAGAAGCTCCAGTTATTAGGTTGGAGAACAGGTTAGAGAGTACTCAGAGGAGTTAAATGTCCCCAAGCAGCTTGGGATACACAGGGTTAGAGTAATAGCAGCTATCCAGGAAACTGGGCAAAGGAGAGCATAATTTCTTGCTTTAAAAGAGATAGAGAGAAGAAATCAGGAAATTATAAAGCAGACACCAAGGTATTGGACCAAATAATCAAACAATCTATGTAAGTGGATTTTGAAGATAGCAAGGAGGTGAACAACAGCCAGGATGGATTTATCAAGAACAAACCACATCATATCAACCTAAATTCCTTCTATGGAGAGATGACAGTTTTCTGTTACAGGAATAAACAATGAATGTCATATAGCTTGACTTTAAACATGTTTTGACATTATCTTACATGGCTTTCTCCTACGCAAGCCAAAGAAATTTGGTCTGGATAAGACTAACATAAAAAAGGAGCGTAGCTGTGGATCACCAGAAGAACTGGGAATGGCTCACAGTCTAAACAGAAGAATATATCAAATCCTGTTATGCAGCAATTTTTCCTGCTAGTCAATATATTAATTAATGCTTTGGATGATAGAAGACATACATTTTAACTCTGAATCATTCAAGGCTAACAGATTACTGTGTACCATGGTTTAGAGCAATAGATGATCTGAAATACATATGATACAATTTCAGGAACTTGGGAAGGACTGTGTTCAGGTCACAGTCAGCCACAGCTAAGTCAGTTGATTAAGCACTGTGGGGGATGAAGACTTAATGCACCAGAGATACTTCTGAGATGGTCACTACCCTGGCAGAAATTAGTTACTCAATGCATAGAAAAACTATAAAAGGCTCTGGAGAATCCAGTGATCAGCAGCTGACCCACAACCCCAAACCTGCAGGGGAGACACAGCACGGGATGTCATCTGCCCAGTGCAGACACAGCAGCAGCAAGACCCCGTTCTGTGCCCTAGATCTGAAAGGGTTCATGGGCAAGGACTGGACAACAGCTACAGACATCATTATTGAGTCAGAGACGGGATCAGTGAGGAGGGGCTGAAGGGAGGGGAGGCTGGTCAGGCCAGGGGTGAGATGGCTATAGGGACACAGGGTGCAAAATAGCTTTTAAAAGTGCTACAAGAAAGAAGAGACACAGTGCTACACATGCATGCATTTAGGAGAGCCAGCAGTGTACTCAAACTTCAGCTGAACAGCTTGAGCTGGGAATGAGAGGACACTGAGCTGGGGATGAGAGGACAGATCTCACAGCACAGATCAGAGAACACCAGGGCAGCTGCTGGAGAGTGGGATGTCTCTGGGTGCTCACACATCGCTCAGGACTGACTCAGGTGGGGCTCTTCTGCTCTGGGGCAGTGCCTCTCTGCCTCCCTTGCTGGAGTGCTGGGTGAGTGCTCAAGCACTACTTAGCCAGGGCTCAGGAAAGCCAGCCTGCCTCAGCAAAGGCAGCCTGCTCTCAGTCCTCCAGCCCAGCAATCTATTCTAGGACACCAACTTCAAAGTCTGCTGTGCTGGCCTGATGCCAGCCTCTAACATAGCCAGTGACATGTTTAAACAAACAATAGATATTTTATTTACTGGAGTCTCTCTAACGCCTTACCCTTCCCCCTGTATTTTTTCCCAGCTTACTTCCACCACTACAATCCCTTGCTTGGACCATGTGCCGGTTTGCCTGATTCCTGTGCCAGGTCAGAACGAGGTGGTATCTGCACCTGAGTGCAATTAAAATCACCTGATACATTTCCAGCTAATCCTCAGAACAGGACCTGACTTGGGCTCAGCTCCAGTTGCTGGCCTACAGCTGTGGCTTTGCTCATGTCTCTGCTGTGACTTCAGTTCCCTTGGACCTTATCTGTTTATAAGCTGCCCTTGTGTCCCTGGGATGCAAATGGTGGAGAAAGGCTTAAAATATGGGCTTTTGTAGCATCAGCTGAAGCAGAAGAGCTTTCAGAACCCAGGAGCAGTTTGTGTTATCTGCTTTCTGTTTGCTCAACATCAGCTGGGAGGAATATCAACTAAACAACAAATGCCTTTGAGTAATTATCTGGAAGCAGCCACGGGTCTTCCCTGTCCCAGGTCTAAGCAGGGCAGCCTTGCAAGAGAACAGTGTTTGTTATGGGCTGTGCTCAGGGTCTTCCTTAGGATGCTCTAAAAACACCCGAGCTTTGGGATAGACTGGACCATCCTTTCCTGTTCCCCAGGCAACTAGCCAGTGAAAGCTTTTGAAGAGACAGACAAAGAGACACAAATGTATACTTAAACTATAAAATATATGACACTTCAAGGATACTTTGGATTGCTTGAAATTTTGTAAGCATACTAATTTTTCACAGTCGTATTGTGTTTCTTATGCTTGCCATTTATTACCACGGGAGACTCGGGGCAAGTGATTTGGAGTGTGTTTAAGTTCAGAAGAGCACTGCTCTGTATTTCACAATCATTCTTCCTTGCACAGGCCCTTTCCCATGTGACTGCAAGCACGTTTTGTGGATTAATGGAACAAACTCTTGTGTTCAAGCAAAGCCTGCAGGACTGTGTGGTTTCTGTGGTCATCCCTCCACCTTAGTCATGGCACTTGGGAAACCAGTGTGATTTCCCAAAAGGTGATCAGCAGAGTTTCAGTGTGTTATGGAAATGGCTACTTATCTTATCTCTGCCTTCAGCTGTATTTAGGGAAGCCTGATAAGGGGGTGGACAGGAGCCTGGCCCACTTCCCCCTCAGATGTTGTGTCCTAGTGACCAAGCTGCCCTGGGGAACTCAGAGCTAGGCTCCTGCCTGGGGACAAGTGTCAGCTCCCTGGGGACTTGCTCCAGGAGGCAGCTGCATTCCCCCTACACAGAACTAGTTAGGATCCTTCAGGCCTGTTTGCTGCTGGCCCTGCTCTAAGCTGGCTGACACAGGAGTGCAGAGCAGCCAGCACAGGCTGTGGATGTGCCTGGAGGGGCAGCAGCAGTTCCACTGTTTGGACACTCACTGGAAGGTCTGCCAATGCCATGCTGAACTGTGCCCTGCCCATGGCCCCTTGCAAAACCCTGAGGCTGCTGTAAAACCCCACAGCTCAGAGCACAGATGACCCCTCTGCCCGTTTAACCCTTCCTTGCTCAGAGAAGGGTGCTCCAGAACAGCTGTGAGCACACCCCATGTCTGGAAGCAGGGAAGATGCTCTGCCCCTCATCCTTGGCCACAGGGCCTGCATGGAGGATGCCAGAGAAGGGGATGGTGGTAGAAGGTGCTTTCAAACTCATGCAAAGCAAGCCCACGTATTCTCTCACGGGATGGCTGCAGGAGTTACCTTGGCTCGCTCCAGACTTTTTCTCTGTTCATGGAATGCAGATGGGCTTTTCAGTGCTGCAACAGGAAAGAAAGAGGAGCAGTCAGCACAGGAGCGGAAGCAAGCAGCTACCAGGATATTCAGCAACAGCATTTTAATGAGTGCTATAAAAATAGCAACACAAACTAGCTGTTGTCTTTATTACACTGCCTAAAAATAACTTAGGAAAGCTCTGGGAAATCCCATGCTCTGAACCAGTCCATAGCAGGAGAGCAGGGGGGATGGAGAGCAGGGGGAGAGCAGAAGGCACGTGGGCAGGGAGGGGGTGCAGGCATTGAAACACAGTGCTCTGTGGGACACGTCAGAGAGAAGATATGACTTTTCCCTGGAATGTTCCCTGCAGGTCATGGAATGCACCACAGCTCCAGAAGACAGATCTGGGAAAAGGAAACACCTGTGAAGGACCTCACCTGAAAGTAAAACCTGCAGGTGACTGAGGCCTGAGGACAGCAGGTAAACTAAGACTGCCTCAGCTCTTGGGGTCTGTGGGCACAGCCTCCAGCTCACACTGTAGGGGAAGGCCCTGAAACTGTGCTCCTTTGTCCCTCTTCCATCACTGACTGTCCCTCCCCTTCTCACTGGACATTTGTCCTGCTCCCTGCCCAGAGGCAGCTGTGTGACATGGGACCTCCCTGGCCCAGCCAGGTACCAGGCAGCAGACCATGCCCTCAGCATCTCCTGACACCAAGGGGGATTAACTCAGAGAGGCTCCCAAAAAAGGCCAATCATCCCTGGCTCTTGGACCAGTGAACACCAGTCCCACCAGTCTGTGCTGGAGTCATGGAGAATCTTGCACATTTCCTTGTTCACTGGGGTTCAGTAGAAATAGAGGCAGAATTTGCATGGTGAGGGGGTTAGGTTAATACTTCTCACATTCTACAGAAATTCTTTTCTGGCTGTGTAAGCAGGCAAAACTCACTGATCCCACTGGGACAAGGAAGGGGAAGGTGTCCTGACCCACAAAAACAGTCTGCTGCAACTCTTTGTTTGGCAACAGAAATTCTCTTTCCATCTTCTGAATGGGATGCAATAGAGACAGAAACTATTTTCACACAGGACATGTTATCCTCCATCAGTCTAGGGGTGGATGAAGAGAAGATTGAGGAGAGACAGAAAAGGTTTGAAGGCCCTCTGAATTGACTTTTGGTAGGCAACACCCAGGCAACCTCTGGAACCTCCGGTGAATCACAGGAGAACACAGAAGGCACATTCCTACTCCTGACATTTGGAAAGCAGACGGACAGACAAGCGTTGCTGTGTCATGCTCTGGTGAGTAGCCACAAGCACTGGTGACAGCTGGTTTGATCAGAAACAAGATCAAATAAGGAGGAGAAGTGAAGTTAGCAAGACAGATGACTTTCCCAACGCTGCTCACTGTGCAGTGCTGATGTTGGCAGTGCGCTACAGGCCCTGACCAAGCACTGTGCTATTCCAGAGGAAATCGTTGCAGAGCTCAGTAATTTATCAAGATTTTTGGAGGCATTATGTGGATGCTGCAGCTTGTATTAGTCTGCTAAACAAATAAAGACATGGCAGTGGTTGTTCAGGGGATGACACCTCAGCATGAAATGGCTGAGGGGCTGGAGGCACCAGGGCAGAGCTGCTGCATGTGGTATTCATAACCCTGGGACTGTGGCTCTGAGGTTTCAGTGAGAGGATGAGGTGGTGGCTGTGTACAGCTCGAGGGTCTTCAAGAGCAGCTGTTTTTGCATTCCATCACAGTCAGGGGAACCTTGTCTTGAGGAATCCTTGATCCTGCAATCAGTCTCCTCCTCCTTTTAGGTAGGAGAGCAGGATCTGGCCCAGGGCAGGTGTCTGGGCAGGTCTAGGGAGAGGGTTTATCCATGCTCAGCCTAGTTTATCCATGGTCACCTGCAAGTGACCCCACATGTTCTTCAATTAAACTGCTTTTGCTGGCTCTGCAGCAGTTTCACCAGGGCAATGAATCTGCCTGTGCTGCTGCATGAACTGGAAACTTCCTACACAGTGAGGCTGAGGAACGGGATGGACTCTGCTCTCATCTGCACTAGTATGCAGCAGGAGCATCTTGTGCAGAATCTGCTGGGCCATGGGCATGCTCCAAGCATGGGCCCAAACCTGCCTCTCCCCACAGAGACCAGCCATGCCCACCTTTACTTTTTCCAGAAAAGATTCTCTGTTCTCTTTCCAGAAGATCCTCAACCCCTGTGGGTTACAGTCATATGGGCTCATTTCTTGACCTCCTGCAGTAACTGTGATCCTGTCCTAGTGCACCTCCTGGAGCCAACCTCACCTGATGGTCCTCAGAGCCAACAGGGTGTGGGAAGATATGGTTAACAAAGACTTGTCTTTCATGAGGAATGACTGCACTTGCCCCAGCCATGGGGAAGCTGGCTGGGGCTCCCATGCATTAAATGCTAACATCTGACACTTCCTCCTGAAGTCAAATGCAGCAGTTAAATTCTGCATGTTTGTTTTTATAGAGGCAAAAGTGCCTTTTCTTCTATTACTTTCAGTGAGTGAACAATGCTCAAGTTTCCCCAAATGGTCTTCTTGGACAGAAACGACATAGCAAAATCTCAGCCTAGAAGTTGAGAGTGCAAAAGAAGCTGTAAGTAACAGCAAAATAGACTTCAGTTCCCATCAAATAAATTTGGCTTAATACGTGCTCTGCACTGTGTAAGGTTTGAGCTGTTGGGTGCCACGTGTGCCAGCTCAGCCCTGCAACCTCTCAGTAGGCACTGCTGCTCTGTGAGTGTGCAGTGAGGTGTCCTGCACCTTGTCCATGTGTCCCCACCATTACAGAGTGGACTTTGGGAGATGTTAGACATATTTTTGGCCATGGATTGTATTCCTAGTTCTCGCAGTACTCTAACAAATGTCACAGTATTTTGTTTAAAGCTTCAGCTCCTGGAGTCTTGTGATTCGAGTGCTTGCCCTTTTGTGGCAGGTAGCATAAAATCTGAATGTTTAAAGAAATAAACAGGTGAAAAATGGAAAGAACATGCATTTATCAGTCTTAAAGCAATTTATCATTTTGGCATTCATGATTTTTGCCATCTTGGTCACATTTTCTTAGTGCTTGATGCTGACAATAACGTCCCGAGCAGGTGAGTGTTGCTGGCTACCTTGGCACAATCGTTCAGGAGGGCAGAGGGGTGGGCAGGGTGCAGCAAGCAGTGCCAGAGCCGTGCTCTTAGTGAGGTGTTGTTCTGCTGCTGAGGCAAGAGCTGCATCACAGTCTTCAAGGCCAACCAGAAGAGACAGGAGTGACACAGCCTTTGGAAAATTGTGATCTTAGCAGTGAACGCAAGGGGTCCTTGCTGAGACAGAAAGGATCCTCTACCTGGGTCCCAGGTAAGCACAGATATGCACGTGGAGCCTGAGCTAGGTCAGGATAGAGTATTCCACCGAGCAGGGCTGAGCTCCCAACATCCTTTCTCCAGTGGTGCTACAGGTTTCGTGATGCACCTGCAGGTGCAGAAGGGATCGTTTTCATTCACTGACTTTTTGTGCCCTAGGAACTGAATTTCTGATGCTGCCTGACTGCATGATAGTGCAGTCCTGGGGCCTGTCCCTCAGGCTGGAGTGCCTTGTGAGCAGGGATGAGTGAGGTCAGAGAGGGAACACGTTTGTCAATGTGCCATAAGCAGCCCAGGTAGGGTTTCACTGGCCTCAGGTATACCCTGATAACCCTGCCCTGGGGGGTCCTGGCTGGGCACACACACGGATCTGGATATATCTCAAGCCTCCAGGGACTGCCTTTCTGTTCTGAGGCCAAGGCAGTTGCCCATTGGTGCCTCCCTCCACAGCCTCTGGAATGGGCCCTCTCTACCACTTCCTTGTCCTGCCAAGAGGTTTCCAGAAGTTCGTGGCTTTTACAGGGGGTCAGGAGATTCTGTGCCCTTGCCTATGTGAAGAGCTTTGTGAGTCTTCTGCTTGAGCTGGATATGCTTGTCCTGCTACAGTGACCCCTGGGACAGGGAACTTGCAGCTGAACTTTTGGATGGTGGAAGGTAAACATCTCTCCTGACTTCAGTTTGAGCAGGGGCATTATAGTCTGTGTGATAAATGCTGAGCACCTCTGCACAGCACCAGGAACCATCATACTTCTGCAGGGCAGGGAGCAAAGTCCCCCTGGGAGCACTTTGCTCCGAGCTCTGTGGGTCTGAGCAGGCAGCTGGTGCCACACAGCGTCCCAGCAGTGCCCAGGATGAGCCAGGAGGGGGTGGAAAAGGCAGAAGATACTCACGTGGCATGATGCCTTGGTCTGCCAGCTGCTCACGGGTCCTTCTCTGCTGGAGCCGCAGCTGTAGAACTGTGAGAGAGAGAGTCAGGGCAAGGTGCAGGATTGTGCTGGGATGCCAGTACAGAGTGAGGGGGGGTGTCTGTGTGTAGCACTGAGGTCTGGCACTGATCCCTGCTGCTGCTGGACCAGCCTTGTGAACAGAGTGCTCCAAGCCAAGGGGGCTGCCAGGGAGGAGCTGAGAGCCTGCACCCCCCAGTCCTCCCTCCTGCACAGGTGGGCAGGGCCAGGCTGCTCTGGCACAGCCACTACCTGGTGCCTGGGACAGGCTGAGCCCTGCCTGGCACCTGGAATAGTGGCCTCAGGTGACCCTGGCTGCAGCTCAAATAGTTGCTGAGCTCTGCACTCTGAAGATGGGAGGTTCTCCCCCATCCCAGCACTGTGGGTTGAGTAGAGCTTTCCAACTCCACCACCCTTCTGAGGGCGTGGCAGCACATTTCCAGCCCTGCAAGGGGGATGCAGATATGCTTACTGTACCAAGGGAATGCAGATAACGTGGTGAGGAGCAAAGTGCCATCTCTGTGAACCCATTGCTCCAAGGACTTCAAATCTCCCATATAACTTCTCTTTAGGAGCAACGTGCTGACAGATGGGAACGACCCAGTGAGTGCCATGGCCTGAGCTGCAGAGCATCAGTTAGACACCCAACAGAGAAGCACCTTTCAGTATTTACATTCTGTAATCACAGCCCACCACACAGCTGCTGCCTGCCCCGTGCAAGGCTGCAAACCTCTGCATGGCCCAGGGCTGCACAGGTTGGGTCATCCCATCTCTCAGGTAGCCATGCCTGGACTTTGACTGAGTATCATATTCTACCCCTTTGGTTTTGCAAATTTGTCTTCAAGAAGACACCTGTATCACAAGGCAGAACATAAAACTCACGTCCATTCTCTCCTGCTAGAAGCTCAGTACAGCTTGCCACAAGGACACAGACCTCCCAGCAGTCACGAAACAACTGCACACACATCCCCTGCCCACCAGCACAGCCCCAGACTGCCTACCCTCAGCTGTCCGGAATGAGCCAGCGTTGGAAGGAGAAGAAAGGCAAGCACAGCCTTTTTGTCCTTGGGAGCAACCTGCTGAGCTCTGCCAACAGCTCATGTCACCAACACAGCTTCCCTGGATCATGGGATGGAGCTCAATAAACAGTTCATGAGGCTCCCTGAGATGCCATTGCTTGTGACTTTTCCATGTCTTCTGTACAAACCGTATCTCACATTCAAAGCAAGTGTTTAGTGAAAGCCTCGTGTGGGACAATGATCTCCCATCAAATTCCAGCACTTCTTAGGACACCAAAGATAGATTCTTGCTGTGAGGGAAAAATGTAACCTTCAGTATTTGGTCTGAGTGTGTGCTGCTCTCCTTAGGCCAGGGTGAAGTCACTGGCAAACCTTGCTGCCAGGGCAGTCTGTAGCCCTTCATTGCCCCATGGGACCACCCCCAGTCAGTGCTGGTTCTGCCCATGGACACAGATTTAGACCCTCACACTCTGGTGCCCACACTGGACCCAGTTATCTGCACCCCCTTGCAGAAGTCAAACACCTCAAGGGCCCTCAAAACCAAACAACACAGTCTATGCCTTGGGAATGCCCATCTTTCCTTCTGGACTGTAGAGGCAGTTAAAAGGTAACCAGCTTGTGGCAGGTGTTTTACACAGGGCGAGCTGTACCCCAGTTTCTGTGTGCAGAGCCTTCTCTGTGACTGCTTACAACGCTGAAGAGCTGTGCAAGAACTTGGCCCTTTCCCAGAGGAAGAGACGGATCTTTATGGAATAGGTGAGCTAAGGGAGGTCAGAGACTGTCCAAAAATAAAAACAGATTTGTGGCTCACCCAAGAATGGTTCTCTACTGTCCTAGTGTCCTGGGCATTAGAGCCCCTTGCCTTCAACTGAGGCAATTTACACACAACATCACATCACCAACTGGGATCAGAGACAGCAAAGCCTTCTGGAATCACATACCCCACCCTGCCAAGGTCACAGCAGCCTCCCCATCCAGCTGTAAAATATCCCAAGTGAGGATGCTCCATCACTTCCCTTCACAGCTCCCACGTGTGCCAAATCATTTGAATCATTTCACCGCGACTTCCAGCACGACCAGACCAGGGGGTGTTCCACATCCACACTGGAAGGGGATTCTTACAGTCAGATGGCTGTGTATTCCAGACCCACATTCCCTGCTGCTTCTGCCTATTTCATAGCCCATCCTAGCAAACAAATAATTTGCCAGTCTGAGGGAGCAGTCAGCTGTCAACCAGGCCAGCGAGGATAAAAAGGAGATGGTACAAATTCCCTTGGAGCATATCTTGGAAGGTGATGGTGATTTCCAGTGTGGTGGGTGTAAGATTCATCATCTACTGGGATGCAAGAAGTTCTGAAAACATGCACGTTTCACTGCCATAGCTCTCCCTCTATTTATCTGGAGGAGCAGCACTTGGGAACACAGATTTCCTGATCCCATGGCCTTCCAGAGAGCCGGGCACAGTCCAGGGGATCCCACTCCGCTGCAGAAGGTCCATGCTGCAACTGACAGCTTCTCCTTTGCCTCCTGCACTGAGCACTGCTGATAGACCATCACAGAGGGGATCAGGGACTATTTGGTGATAATTTTGTGCAAGGAGAAAAGGTCTCCAATTTGGTTTTCATGCTGACAGGCCCAAAAGGCTGTGACCCAGCCATGCCACTCGCTGCCCTGAGTGTGGGAGCTGAGCTCTTCCCTGGCAGGTCATGCAACCTCCCTGAGACACAGACTTCATTGTGGACCATGCTGAGCTTACAAACTTCCTGAAGTTTGGCCCATTCTTAAGCCACAGAGCAAGGAGGAAAAGTTTATCCAACCTTGTTTGTTCAGGGCATGCTGTCAAAAACCGTGAAGACAGGCAAGTGCAAGTGCTGGCCATTTCCAGGAGCAGCACAAGCTCGACTGTTGTTATTTCAGCCACCAAATATTCACCCAAATCAGTATGTCCTTAGGCATGGATGCATGACTTGACTCCCATAAATATCTCTGTGAACTTCCAAAGCCTGTTGCAAACCATCTGAAGAAATGTAGTGGACAGTGTCACAGTAATGCTGAACATCCCTGCAGCAAGAGGGAAAGCAGCCTCTGAGGCAGTGCTGCAGCTTGGCAGATGCCAACTCAGGGTTTGCACCTTTCCCTTACAACCAACAGTGCTTAAAAACAGGGCTGGAGGAGTCCCTGGTACCATACAAACCACCACCACTTAGCTGCTTCTTTCCTTGGAATCTGGTGGGGCAGTGTCTCACCCCAGCTGCATTTCTGTCCTCTTCCTTTGCTGGAGTCCTGAGCTCTGAGTGCCACCACCCTCGATGTACAGGAATTAATTTTTCATGAATATTATCAGTTTTCAAGGGAATGGCTTTGCTAACACTTTAGAAGAACATTTATGATACAAAGAGTGGTGGCTGGAGCACTGAAGAGACAGTCTTGGCCTCACAGCCCCAGCATCCTCGTTTCCTGCCTGCATCAGCTTGAATGGCTGTACCAGCCAGGGAGCAGCCAAACACACTGGTCTTGTGGTACCAAGCTGTGCTGACACCACCAGCTCCCCCAGCTGAGACACAGCCTTTCTTTCAGCAACCCTGCTCCCTCCTGTGGTACCCCATGATGAGAATCCCCCTGGATGATGTGAGACATGTCAGACACATTCCAGTGATTTTACTTGCAAACTTCTTCTGTTAGAAAACACTACTCCTCCCTTCTATGCCAGCACCAAGTGCCTTTACTGATAGCAGCTTCCAGAAACGTCCTCTGCAGTGGGGCTGTGGCACTGGTGCACACAAGACTTCCTGCTGTCAGTCACAGCTGCCTCTGGTGACCCAAGCTCTGAGCACTGCCCGTGACTTGCAGTCGTGAGTCATCCTCCTCTCTAGGACCTGCACTCAGAGCTTTAGGAAGCTAAGAGGACAGCTTGAGCCTTGCCTGGCCTAGTGATGCACAGAAAAGACATGTTCAGATCTTCTCTCCACCCCAGGAGTAGGCAGGTCTGGCCATCTGCTTCAGTCTCTGTGGGTGCTTTGAGATCAGTGTTCAGCAGACAATCAGTGTGGGCTGGACTTTTATCACCTGCACCAGAGCATCCCCCACACTGGGGCATTGCCAGAGCACTCCCACCACCATCCTCTGCTTGGACAATTGGCTTTACCAGCACAGGGGGCTGAGCAGCACGAGGAGGGAGGAGAGTGCTCTCCTGGCAGGGTTCAGGACTAGGACAGGCAGGCAAAGTCATGACTGACTTGACCCAGTGTTGGGGACAGTGTTTCCAAGAAGGAGGATGGATCAGAGCCTGTCCCTTCCCACCAACACTTATGTAGTGGCCAGAGCAGGTTCTCTGGAAACTCTGAGGCTGCACGGGGCTGTCTCAGCATTCAGCTTGTTCTTGCAGCTGAGTCGAGCTGCCCAGGTGAGCAGATACAGATCTATTGCTGCTTCTCGACTTCTGACCCAGCATCTGCCCCTTTCTCTGGTGGATCCTCTGGCAGTGAGACTGACTGAGGCACAGTCCCTCCTGCCTCAGCTTTAGTTTTCTTACGTGGTTTCAAGTGAAATCCCAATAATTCACAGAATCACAGAACTGTAGTTGGAAAAGACTTTTAAGATCATCCAGTCCAACCTTTAACCCAGTACTGCCAAGCCCACCACTAAACCATGCCCCCAAGTACCACATCTATTTTAACTGCTGTTTTCCTCCCTGCCCAGGCTGCACCAGCACCTTTGCTGTGATTGGGAACCACGTTCACAAACAATGCAATTGCTGTTCTCTCATCCGAAATGAGTCACTGCTGCTGCCAGAACTCGTGGTGGGGCAGTTACCTGCTGCTCCCCACACTTTCTGTGCTGCACCAGCCAGTGCCTCTGGGGACTGACAGAGGCACCACCTTATGCCAGCTGGACCCAAGTGCACGACCGTGATGGGAGTCAGCAGTCTGACAAACTGCTGAAGCTGACACTGCCACTAAAAAAGCAGCAGCAAGTCACTGTCCCCTCTGCCAGCCACCCCAGCAGCTCATTCCTGCCCTCTGTGGCTCAGAGCTGGGGTTTGGGGAGGGCAGGTGCAGATCAGTGATGCACAGGATGGGGACATCTCTGCCGGGGACAGGGGGGAGTTGGCAACAAACTGGGAATGGGGAGGAGGGATCCTGTTTGCAACAGCAGCAGTTTCATTGCCTGTCAAACAGCAACTGAGCCAATGTGAAACAGGGGTTTGGCCATGGCCATGGCTGGCAGAAACAGCCCTGGAATCATAGAATATCTGGAGTTGGAAGAGACTCAGAGGGATTATCGAGTCCAGTTCCTGGCCCTGTTTTGGACCCAGCCTCCTTCCAAAGGCAGGACTGCTGCAGGCTTTGAGACTGGCTTTACATCCAGTGTCTGAGGCAGTGTGTGAGCGTGGTGGGGGACAGCAGCTTGCCCCATGGGTCCTTTGGTCCTTTGACTGTCCCAAGGTCCCAGCAGGGCCGGAGCAGAGCTGGCATGCTGGCAGGGTGCAGTCACGTTGCTTGTGGCCTTCTCAGGGCTGTGTCTGCGTCTCTACAGCTGTGTCAGGAGCAGGAGCAGAATCCACAGCAGGGTGCCCCACGGGCGGGGCTGCGAGCAGGGGGCTCTGTTCCAGCTGGGTAGCAGGCTGGCATCAAATCCCTGATGTAGGAGCTGGATGTGGCTGAACATGGAGTCACTCTGAGCTGGGTGACAGGCCAGCCAACCTCCTGGGTGCTGACACCAGCAGAGCACCATAGGACTTGTCTGTTGGGAGCTGCTGTTTTGCAGAACACCAGGCCAGGCTCTGTCCTGAGCCCCTCCAGGGCTCTGTGCTCTGCTGACAGCCATGAGCCACGAAGGGATTTCTTTTCATCACCAGGCTTATGTTAGGCTCTGACAACACGGCCCCTGTGGGAACCACGTGAGCAGAGATGAACCTCAGGCAGCTGGACATGGCACTGCTCAGCCAGGACAGCCATGGAAAACCCCGGTCCATCCTGTCCCAGGTGGGTGCTGCTTTATCTGTTCCTGTGATGTCACTTCAGAGGTGGGAGCATTTTACCTTCTCCCAGGCAGATGTGCTACAAATGTGTGTGTTACCTGGGGGATTGCCCTGAAAATCTTGTCTACACTGGACAGAACTACATTTATAACCACAAGTCTGGGTCTTCAGAAGCCTTGGAAGAGACACAGGACCACAGCTGGCTAGCAAGGAGCCCAGACCACCAAATGGGCACTTTAAAGGCCAGTCTTCGCGAGCGAAGATCCGGGGAAGGTCTTTCCACCTTCCAGCCTGCGCATTGGATTTTTTAGGTGAGACACAGTGTGCGCGGAACTGAGCCCACCCTTTAATCCTAAGGTTCATCTGCCGGGGCCAAGCGAGCTTGGACGGTGGCAGCGAGGTCCTTAGGATGTAGGTGGGTTGCCTTTAAGGGCTAACGAGCCCCACCTGCCCGGGAGTGGCCCTGACCGGGAATCGAACCCGGGTCTCGGCAGTGATAGCGCCGCGCCTTTACCACTAGACCACCAGGGGACTCCAAATGGGCACTACCAGCTGTGAAATCCCTCTGAGGGCTTTCTCCATCATAATGTGCAACCCTGACCTCACCATGGTCCTGAAAACGGGCCCTCACCTTGGAGTCTTCCCTCCAGCACTCCCTGAGCAGCCCAAACAGACGTCCCTGAAGCACAGTGCGATAGTTTCAATCTGTGCTACAACACACACCTGACTTGACAGAGAAACATGAGACTGTCTACTGAAATAATGAGGTATAAGATGCCAGAAAAACAAAACCAAGCACAAATCCATCTACATCAAGTCAGTGTTTTACAAAAACTTCACAAAACAGTCTCATCAGTTACAACAAGGCCATGGTTTGAACACACACACTGACAGTGACCTGCATGAGTTCACAATCTGAGAGGAAACACAGGCTCATGTTTTATCTTTGGACGCCAGGAAAACAAAAATAAAGGTTCTGCCAAAATGCCTGACCTAACACCCTACGAAGACCTACTGTCTTCTGCCTCTATTGACCTGTTGATTTTGTTCCAAATCACTCTAGCCACCAGAGGCAGACAGAATGAATTCCTCTCCCATCTCAGCTTCATTCAAGCCCTATGAGTAAGAATGAATCCAGACCAGGCTTCTCTGCAAACCCACCCCTCTGTGTCCTCAGTTAGGCCTTGGTACCCCATGCCAAGCCATACAGAGCCTTATTTATAGTGTCAAACTTTCACTTCTCACCAATTATCTAAACTACCACTGAGGTTAGGCAGATATTGTTAGGTTGATAAGGTTAGGCCTTGTAAGCTCTTTCCATACCACTGTAAGAAAAGGTCAGGGTTAAGGTTAGATCCACATTTATCAGTTTTGTCTGATGCTGCTGAAGAATAATTGGTTTGTACTCAAAGCATATCACATAAATTATTGTCTCTGGAAAGAGTTAAATGTGTTTCTGGAACAGCACTTGGATGTCCTAGCTGATTTAGTGCAATCCCATTGATAGCTGGAGCACATGGGATAACATGACAGACTTGAAGAATCATCATTCCCGCAAAATTTGTCAGGATGACCTCAGATCAGAATATTTATCTTTGGCATAACAGACAAAATAAACAGGCACACAAATCCTCAAGGAAGGGGAAGGGGACCCTGCAGGACTGCAGCATGGAGGTGTTTTTCCCTCTCTCTGGAGTGGTTCCTGGTGCCCAGCCCTGGAGTAGCTGCTGTTTCTCCACATGGCAGAGCTTTGCTGGTCCTTCACTTGGACCACTGGTGAGACAAGAAGAGGAGAAACCACCATGGGACTCCAGGGAGGATTGCTGTGCACGCTGTGAAAAGCCACTGCTTTTCCACCACCACAGCAGTCTTTCCTGGACAAACTTTCTTTTCCTTGCTACTGATGCTGCCAGATGGCAGTGAGAGACCAGAGAGCTGATGCTCGAGCCACACCTACGTCTCAACACCTTCTAGTTGCCACCTCCTCACTCCACTTTCTCCCTGATGCATGACACAGAGATTAAAGGGGTTCTGGGATGAGGAAACAAGTGATGTATCTCCAGAACCATTTAACACACTCACATAGCTCAGCATGTGCAGGCCATGGAGAGAGAGCAAAAGTTTAGTTACTAAGATTTATTTCAGCCCTCATTAATATTGTCCTGGAATCCTTCAAAAGGGATTCAGACTCATCATGAGTCACGGAGCACAGTTAATCCTTCCCAAACTTGGGGAGCAAACAAAGCCTCACACCTGCCTGCACGAGACCACTTCCAAAGCGATGGTGCATTGTCAAGCTTGGCTCCTTGGGGCTTGGAATTTTGGGGGCCGATCCCTCCCAGCTCTGTGCGAGCTACAGAGCTCCCTGAAACTGCTGCTGTCCCGTGTGACAGCCCCTGAGCCAGGCAGGATGGTGTGGGGCAGGGTGACAGGTTGTTAGAGACTTTCATCGCTCTGGAGGATGGTAAATCAGAGCTCTGCACCTCTCGCCATCCTTGGGGCTCTACAGCTGACAAAGCCTGCACACGGAGCAGGGACACCAGAGCAAACTCTGTCCCATAGAGACTTTGCACATAAAAGAGATTTCATTAAATGTTAGCTTTTTCATCTCTGTTCCCCATGTTATTAAAAATCCAGCACAAACTGAAAGTGGCATTACTGATTTATTTGTGTTCCTCAGCATCCTGCTCTCCTCCCCTGTCCCACACACTGTGACAGCCAGAGTTGTCCTTTGGCCACATCCCACGTCACCTGTAGTGGTCCCAGACATGGGGACAGTGAGGTGCAGACATGCCTTTGGCATTCTGGCAAGCCCAGCTACAACAAAATAAATAGGCAGTTGTGGGAACAAGTAATGAATAAGAATGCCCCACAAATTGACTGTCCTAGAAATGCTGAAAGGCACGAGAATTTATAGACCCACAAAGTTTACTTTTCCTGGAGAATCATTTGAAAAATATGTTTAGAGAGCCCACTGTTGGTTCCATAATAAAGCCAGCTTACAAATAAACCAGAAATGAGCTTTAAAAACAACCCTGGTTCATTTGAAAAGAATGCAGGGACAATGCACAGCCCATCCTCTGCTCCTCAGGGAGGTGGCAGTGTTGCTTTGTACATGCTGGAGGAATTGTTACAGACAGAGATTTTTTTCAAATGAACAGCAGTGTACCATAATATACCAACAAAATTTAAGGAATGACTTAATCTAATGAAATGTAAGATCAGAGCGATATGGAAACCACACCAAAGACCTGGACTCAAGCTTTGTATAATTGAGCCAGACTAGGACACTTGTGTTTGCACACACACTCTGGGGTTTTCAACCAACTGCCAACTTTGTATTTGCTGAGAAAACAAAGTTTAAATTGACCACCCAGCTATCTAAGAGATCCTGATAACACCACTCATGTCTCCCGTCAGTATCATAAATCTCCAGTTTCATTATCTACAATGCAGAAGGAGGCAAAAACACACACGGCGTGGGTGACACGCCAGGGCGGGTGCGTGTTCCAACGGGACTGCCCTGTCCGGGTTTAAAGCACCCCGTACATGCAGCTGATTTGTCCGAACATCCTCACAGAGAATATTCCCAGGGAGATCTTCACCTCTGGGAAGGTCAGAGAAAGCCCCTCGGGAACGTTTTTTGACATTTCTGTTCAAACTGCAGTATGTTATTAAAAAAACCTGCAAGTCAAGATACCCACTCCCAAACAGAGCATACTTACTGTAGACACAGCCAGTGACTAAAGGCATGAACATCCTGCAGAGGGGCTGATCAAGAAGCGACTGTCCCATAGTTCACCTTCACTCACCTTCACTCAGGCGGAGCGTCCTCGGAGGAGCCCCCGAGCGGAGCTTCCCCGGGCTCACGAGCCGGAGGCATGTTTTACTGCACACCCTCCGGGAGCGGCAATCAATTGTGTGCCTCTGGTTTTATTTCTCTGATGATGTCACTTTAAATACTTTTCATGTTCCATTTGTTATTTTTACTTCTAAAAATGACGCATTTCTTCAAATTCATTTTTCTCCAATTAGTCACAACCTAATGGAACCAGCCGGGCCGCCTGCCTGTCAGAGACAGTGCCGGGCCCGTCCGCCCCGCGACTGTCACAGACAGACCCGCCAGAGCACCTGGAATACACGCACCTCGGCACCTTGTTTATCCCCGATGCCCTTTTGGCTTCCTGCCCAAATCTTTTGCAGCAGGGCCAGAGCAGGAGCACCGGGAACTGCAATTTTACCAGAAAGAAACACAGCCATAAATCAAAGACAATGAAAAACCAGGAGGAAGAAAGCAACAGAGAGGAAGATGCGTCTCTCCACTGGAACAGTCTCTGCAAGAGCAAAGCCGTGACAGCTCTACAACCCCTCGAATCTTTGCTCGCATGCTGCTTCCGAACATTTAATGCAAAACAGTCCGTGGCTACGACTTGCCAGAGAGAGAAGGTTTAAGAGAAATCTCAAGGTTTTCCCTACCTGATCTGAACTTGCTCCGAATCAGCAAAGAGTGCTCAGACCCCAGGAGTGTCATGGTGACTCAGGGACCAGATCCAGACGCCCCTCACTTAAACCATTAACTTCCTCCACAGGGAAAAGCCGACCAGACCGCGGCTGGCGCTCAGGATTCATCCAGCTCTCCTGGACTCCTTGGGTGCTTTTACAGCCGGCTGGCAAGAAGCAGCAAGTGGCTTTGTAAGATTTGGTCCCATCCAGCACTGACCCTCCACAGACACCAACTGCTCCCCCTGTGCTGTGTTGAACTAATTAACGTGGAGACAGCGGGAGCCTCCTCCCGCCCGGAGTTTACTACCAGCAGCTGGGTGTCCTGGCTGATGTCATCGTCTAGCGGGGAGCAGCGACTATCGGAAAGGGTCTTAGCAAAGACAGAAGTTTGATATCTGATCCTAATTACTACCGGCCGTACGCAGCCAATCCGGGCGCTCCCCGTCTCAGCCGACTTTGGGAGCCGCTGGAAGTATCAACAGAGCGGGGCTTAACTCTTTGCAGCGTGGTGCGGCCCGGGGGCCGTGTGTCCCAAAGCGAAGGGCTGGGCTCAGCCCCAGTGTCCTGGGGGAGGGGACGGCTGGGTGAAGTTCCTTCCCCCCGAGTGCCACCTTGGACACCCTTCTCGTCAGGGAGCCAGAGGACGTGGCTGCTCGGCAAACGGAGCCCCCTGGCCCGCACGGAGGGCTGTGCCCCGGGCTCACAGACCATCGGCAGTGCGGGAGGGGGGCTCAAGTGTTTCACAGTCACAGAACGTGCTGAGCTGGAAGGGACATACAAGGATCATCCAGTCCAGCTCCTGGCCCTGCACAGGCCCATCCCCAAGAGTCCCCCCCTGTGCCCCAGAGGATCATCCAAACCCTCCTGGAGCTCTGGCAGCCTTGGGGCTGTGCCCACTGCCCTGGGGAGCCTGTTCAGTGCCCAACCAGCCTGTGGGGGAAGAACCTTTTGCTGAGATCCAACCAAAACCCTCGTGCAGCACAGCTGTGCCCAGAGCTGCGCTGCTCAGTGCTCACCTCTCTCAGTGCGCAGCTCTACCCGTGGGATTATCCACCTGAGCAGCTCACATGTGCTGTGGTCAGGAGGCAGATGCTGCAGACATCCAGAACATATCCCCTTGTGCTGTGGCACACAGACACTCAGGATATATGAGGCAGGGCTAAACCTTGGCTCAAAGTTTCCCGTGTCACAGCAGAGCACAGCAATCCTGAGGAGGGTGGGAGCAATGGTGAACACAGCTGCAGTAGAGGATCCTTCCCCACCTACCAAACGTGCTCTCAGAGAAGAAAAGCTTCTTGCAAACATACAAAATAAAGAGAAACAGATCCTTTGGGACTTCCCTTCCCCAAGCCCCTGGCTGGTTCACTTTAAGTAGTAGAAGAAAATGAACTGGGGTCACCTTTTACTGTGTAGCACAAGTGGTACAAGCCAAGCTAAGTTAAGGACAAGTCTCAGCTTCCCTGACACATGGATCTCACCTGGGAAGCTGCCTAAATTCCCTCTAGATCAAAAATACCCACCCAAAAACTCCTTCAGAACTGGTTTGAGGTTTTGTTGTAAGTGGGATTTTCTCTCTTTTATTTTTTTTTAAATTTTAATTTATTTTAATCCTGTGGTTTCTGTGAAGTACTCTTACACAGTCTGGGGGAGTGATCAGCATTTCAGGGCTTTTAGATGTATGACCCAGAAGCTCTGATTCCATCAGTGCTCCCCACACAATGGAGAACTCATGTAGTCCCTCATGTATCATGTCCACATGATACAACCATAAAAGCACAGAATCATTTAGATTGGAAAAGCCCTCTAAGATCATCAAGTCCAACCCTCATCCCAGCACTGTCAAACCCACCACTAACCATGTCTCTAAGCACCAAATCTGCACATTTATTAAACACTTCCAGGAATGGTGATTCCACCACTCCCCTGGGTGGCTTGTTCCAGTGCCTGACTCCTCTTTCAGTGAAGAAATGCTTCCTAAACCCTGGAACAATTTCAGACTATTTCATCTTGTCCTATTGCTTGTTACCTGACAGCTGAGGTTGATGAGGCTGTCCTGAGCTGAGCCCCCTCCCTGCCATGGGCTGGACTTGTGATTTCCTGGTCATGCTATGTCTGATGAAGTGGATATTCCTTAGTGACTGACGGGGGAGAGGTGATTCAAATAAATTTATCTCCAAGCATTGAGCTGAGCCAGTAACAGAATTTACTGCAGGGTGACCACAGGTCCTGTTCCTTACTAATTTTTCCTAATGTCTAATCCACTGTATTTGAAATGTCTTGTCTAATGGACTTACCCTTTCAGTCAGTGCTGTCCTCAAACAGAAACCATCATTTAGCAGAACCACACCATGAGCAGCTCAAGGACAAGAGCTAAAGGACAGTCTCAAACTGCAGTTTCTTGTATGTTTTTGCTTTGCAAACTCCTGTTTGATTTACTGCTCCTGCTGGCCAAAGCCCCACTCAGGTACCCTGCTCCCTTTGGAGCCTGATGGTTCCTAGTGTCTTTTCCATCGTGTGTGAGCTGGAGCTGCCTGAGGGGTCTCTGGCCGTGCAGCCCCTCGTGTGCCTCTCTCCCCCTGGGCCTCTGCCCCCTCAGGACTCTGCAGATGTGATGGACGAGTTTTTCACTCCAGTGCTGTGTCTTCCTGTGGGGATGAGCTCTTCTACTTCAGACCCCTCTTGCTGTTGCTGCAGTGATTCCTGTTCTTGACCTTTTCTGCCTGCACATCACCATCTCTGGTTTCTGAGTTCAGTGGAAGAGGAACAGAGTGCAAGGGGACATTCCATGGTGTGATGCTGCTTGGGATGCATCTCCCTGAGACAGCAAAAGGCCTTCAGCAGGGATGGATTAGGACCAGCAAGGACAGATGAGCGGCCCAAGGTGCACAGCATCTCACGTGCTACTCTCACCCTGCAGGTGACCCTCTGCCCCTTCAGGACTATCTGCAGGCACAAGGGATGGGTACAGGAGCTCTAGGCTGATGCCAGGCACTTGGAGGAGGCTGACAGGGCAGCCTGATCCCCTCTGCCAGACCCTCTGCTGAAGGGGTTTCTCCCATCATCTCCACCGTGGGCACCTTTTCTGTCCTGAGGCTCACGCACAGAAGAGGGTTTGTCCAAAGACGTCGAGGGCACAGACAATGCAGGGCCTCTGGGCCCCTAAAGCCCCTCAGTATCCAAGTTTTCCCCTTCCATGGACATGCATTGCCCACCTAAATGATTAATGAAGACAAAGGATTTTTTTTTTGTAACATGGATTACAAGCATGAGTAGTAGGTGAGATGGATACAGGCTGCAGTCTCCTAATTTTTAGAGCAGTCTGGAGGTGCATCTAAAGCAGTAAATAAAACAGAAAAAAATTTTAAAAATCAGGTTCTGACTTTCAGAATCCTGTTCACTTGGTCCCACACAAGTGCACTTGTTCCAAGGCAGGAAGCAAAGTATTGTAATGAGTCAAAATCAGGAGTACACAAGAAAAGGAAGGAGAAAGGTTTGGCAACGATCAACAGGGAAAAATGGCAAACACTATATTTTTTTTTTTTTGGTGGGATAGGGGCTGTAAAACCTGCAGCTGAAAAAGTTAGCAGGTTAGTAAAATCCCAGAATGATCAAGAAAGTGGTGTGTGGCCTGCCTCATCTGGGTGGATGGCAGATGGAGATGATTCGGTGTGGATAAATGCTGACTGTCGTGGCAGAAGGGAGGATTAACCCTGGGCTCCCCAAGCAGAGCAGCCTGGGAAATGGAGCCACGTGGAGATCACTGACTCCTTGGGCTCGAGTCACTGTGAGCATGTAGAGATGCAGAGTGAGCAGGAGCTTTCTGCTTGCTGGTTTGGTGACTCCTCACCCAGGCCAATGGAAACGGGGGTGATTTAGCAGGCACGTCCTGGTTAGTGATTTTCTAGGGCTGTGTGAGGTATCATCCCATCTGTCTGACCTGGCCTCCATTTTGATGGGAAACCTTTGTTCCTCCCTACTCTTTTCTCAGGGCTTTTTATGACCCTGCAGGCAGTTCCTGAGCAGTTCCCCTGGAGGGCACAGATCAGACCAGTGCATATGGGAGGTTGTACTGGCCCTGTCCCAGGGCAGTTCTCTACCACCTGAAATAGTAAGTCTGCTTCTCTCTGAGCACTTTTACATCAGACATTAAGATGTGAGGCACCCAAGCACCCCCTCACACAGTGGGAGTTTCTCAGTGCCAGGGTTTGCTCAGAGCCTGTCCTGGACACCAGTGCCTGTACAGGACTGATGGTGTTACGACTTCGCTCCCTCTTCCCTGACATTACAAGTCCATGAGGG